GAATACAGGTAGGTGTAGCTTTTCTAGAGGTCAATTAGGCATTACCTGCCAAAATTTTAAATGCCTGTATAAGCAATACCACTTTTGGAAATGAATCTTCAAGAAATATTGATACATATATATCTTTTTAGGATATTTATTGTGACATTGTTTAAAATAGTAAACAAGCAATCTAAATGTGCTTTTCCAGGGAGCTGGCTAAGTAGTTTATAGGATAATCAGTCTCATGTGGTGAAGACCGTGGACTCTGGAACCCGAGGGCCTGAGCTTGAGTCAGAGCACCACCTCTTCCTAGCTCTGTGACCTGGAGCAAGTCATGGGTCATCGCTCTGTCTCAGGGCTCTCATCTGTGAAGGGGGTGATAGATGGTTCCCGTCTCGCAGGCTTGTCATTGGTGATTGAGTGCAAACACGTAAAGCACGAGTCTGCCACAGAATGAGCATGATAGGAGTGTTTTCTATTGTTGGTGGTGGTGTTGTGATTGTTATTATTATTCTGGGAAATACTATTCAGTCAGTAAAGACAATGAATGTTCTGACATGGAATATGCCATCATAAAAATGTTAATTGGATAGAAGACTGTTTCAGAACAATGTGTGTGGTAAAATCCCATTTACTAAAATAAAAAATCGTATTTTCAAAAGTCTGCAAATGGATGCACCCAACTGTTAACGATAATTTGAGAAATGGGGCAAAGAGTGGAGTGAAAGGTGGAGGAAGGCGGTCGTATTTTATTTTACCTGCCTCTAAAGTACTTGAATTTTTTTTTTTACCACAAGCTTATATCACTTTGCAATGAAAATGTAAGGATATTTTACCTATCTGGTCAGCATATTACGTATAGCTTGTATGTTTAATGGATATTGATCTAATTATAATATTGGAAAGGTTAGCCAGTAGGTCTAGGCAGAGCTTAAAAATTACTGTGTTTAAAATTTGGTTAAGTTAAAGCCAACTACAGATGACTAAAATCAATAAATCACTGTGAAAACTCACCCATTTGGGAGCCAGCCCTGATGGCCTAGTGCTTAAAGTTCCACATGCTCCACTTCTGTGGCCCCGGTTCTGTGCCTCCCGGGTGTGGAACCACACCACTTGTCTGTCAGTAGCCTTGCTGTGGTGGCAGCTCATATAGAAGAATTGCAAGGACTTACAACTATACACAACTATGTACTGGGGCTTTGTGGGGAAAAAGGAAGAAAAAAGGAGGAAGCTTGGCAACAGATGTTAAGTTAGGGTGAATCTTCCCCTGCAAAAACAAAACAGAAAAACAAAAAACTCAACCTTTTGGGGAATGTGAGTTGTTTTGGAACTCAGAATACTTTGGCTAAGTGAAAAGACCTTATTATGAAAATAACAGATTTTCATTTCCTCTCTAATTTTATAACTCTTGGCAATGCAGCCTTTGTTTTGCTGTGAAACGTTTGCAAAGGAAATGAGTGTATGCACTGAGTTTTATTTTCCAAAATAAATACGTTTCAATTTTGCCTAGAGATTGTAGGACACTGTGACATTGGGGTATTGCCTGGAACGGGGGTTGCTGAGGAGTGTGGAGACAAGGGCTTTCTTCGGGGCTCTAGACTTAGGCAAGAGTACCTAAATCACAGACTTGCTGAAGCAGCTCTAACACTCCCTGAAAGAGGCCGCTTTGAGAAGGGTGTTTCTTTGGGGATGCTGGGAGCCCTTGTTCAGTAGTCATGATGCCCACACATGTGCGCCACCTGGTGGGCCCTGGCGGTATCTCTAGTGAGTGCACCGTAGGAACGCCAGTTCTGTTGCAACTTAGGTAGTCTCCTGTCATCACGTGGTGTGGGGGAGGTCAAGTTAATGAAGAAGATCATATTTCTGTAGTTCTAACTCTGCTAGTTCCTTTCTCCAGTGATAAGACGTGGGTGGGCAGTTGCCAAATGACTATATTTGGTCAAGAAAGGATGTTGTTACAGAAATTCTAAGACTACTTTTGTTTTTTTTGGAAGAGCAAAGGAATTCTTTGCAATAAAAACCATGGAAGTTTTTTTCTAACGTGCCTTTAAAATTTTGAGAAATTTAAGCGATACAAAAAAATATCCTATAACAAGTACCCGCAGAATATCCAGAATTGACAAGCATTACCATTTTGTAATAGTGAACATGCTTCATCATTGTTAACTAAAAGAAACAAAACGTTCCGAGTGAAGATGAAATCCCTTTTGTATTTGTCCCTGATCACACGCCTCTTCCTCATTCCCCACTGGAAGTCACTGGTATCAGCTTGGTTAATATCTTTATGATGCATTTTTATACTTTGAAGTTCAATTCTATTCAGTTCAATTCAGTAAATATTACTGCCCACCTCCCATGTGCCAGGCACTGTTCTGCACACCTGGGTACATCAGGGAGCAAAACAGACGCAAGTCTTTCCCTTCATGGAGCTTGCTGTCTACCTGGGGGAGACAAGGAAGATTCCGGTTTTTTTTTTATTGAGATGAAATTCATATAATCTAAAAGGAGCAGTTTTAAGTGTACAATTCAGCAGCATTTAGTACATTCACAATATTGTGTAATCATCACTTCTGTCTAGTTCCAAAACATTTCATCATCCGTTAAGCAATCGCTCTTCACACTCTGCTTTGCCAAGCCTCTGGCAGCCACTAATCTACTGTCTGTCTAAGGATTTACCTATTCTGGATATTTCATGGAAATGGAATCATACAATATGTGAACTTTGGTGTTTGGCCTCTTTCACTTAGCGTAGTGTTTTCAAAGTTCATCCATGTTGTAGCCCGTTCAGTACTTCCTTCCTTTTTATGACTGAATAATACTTCATTGTATGGATATGCCACATTTTGTTTATCCACTCATCCATTGTTCTATGCTTAACTCTTTGAAGAACTGCCAGATAGTTTTCCACAGTGGCTGAACCATTTCACATTCCCATCAGCAATGTATGAGGGTTCCAATTCCTCCACAATCCTTGCCAACATTTGTTATTTTCCATTATTTAAAAAAAAATTATTATAGCCATCCAAGTGAGTGTGATTCCAAAGTTCTTGGCCTACAAGAATAGAGTTAGCATAATTGAGATGAGGAAGGCTGTGGATAAAATAGGATAGGATAGGAGGGTCAGTGTTCAACTTGGTCAGGTTGAATTTGAGATGCCTCTTAGACATCCAAGTGGTGGTGTTGCGTAGACATCGGATAGATGAATCTGGAGTTAGAAAAGGAGGTCTGGTCTGGAGATATAACTTAGGAGTCATTGGCATTTAGTTTCTGTTTTAAGCCATGGGACTAGAATATAGACAGAGAAGAAAACCAAGGATTGATCCCAAAGGCATTCCAAAATTAAAAGGTTGGGTAGAGGAGGAGAGACATGCAAAATAAACTAAGAAGGAACAGCCAGTGAGGTAGACAGAAAATCAAGAGAGTTTGATGTACTTAAAGGTCAACTGGAAAAAGTATATGACTGAGGAGGACTGATTGACTATGTGAAAGGCTTTCAAAGGTCATGTGATTAGAACTGAGCATTGAACATTAGATTTGGCAATGTGGAGGTCATGGACAATCTTAATGAGAGCAGTGTCAGTGGAGTGGTGGGGGATTGGAGAGAGGCAGTATAGATAACACTTCCCAAATTTTCTTACAGAAAATAAAGAAATGATGCTGTGGTTGCTGGGGAAAATGGGGAGAAGAGAAGGTCTTTTTTTTCTTTAAGGTGAGAGACATAATAGCATTTTTTATGCTGATAGGAGTGATTCAGTATAGAGCAAAAAACTGATATCTCAGAAGAGGGGATGATTATTGGAGTGCTGTCCTTGAGTAGGCCTGAGGGGATGGGATGTAGTGTACAAGTAGAGGGACTGCCTGTAGACAGGCGCATGGCGGGTTCATCCTTGGGAGCAGGTGGGAAGGCAGGTTCTGTATTCAGACACGGGAAGGTGGGAAGATAAGGCAGTGAGGTCTCTGGAAGTGAAGTAAGAATGAAGTTCATGAGCTGGGAGTGCGAATGAGGAAGGTGTTGGAAGTTTGGGGAGAGAAAAGAAGTGTGAAATAGCCTTTTGGAAAAGTGGATGAATAAATGGAGTAGAGATGAGGAGAATGGTTGCTTGGGAATGTTAGGGATCCACTTGTGATGCAGCATGGATTTGAAGTTTGTCTTTCTCCAGCCATGCTTGGCTGCACAGGTGCAGGAGTAGAGTTGTGTGTATAGAGGGCTAGAGGACAAGCAGGTTCAACAAAGCACAAAAAGGGCAAGGGAACGGAGGGCACAGGCAAGAGAGTGGTTATACAGATGGGTTTTGGTTTTAAGCTGGATAAGGGGGAAAGAGAAGACATCAAGGGCTGAGGTATGGTGACTCGGTACTGTGATCAATGGATTGCCTATCCTGTGGGGGCAAAGAATCGTTGAAGTCAGGGCAGCAGAGAGAGCGAGAGGAAAAGATACAGTCTTGTAGACAGAGAGTAGGATGCATTAAATTGAGATTATGGAGCATTTGCAGCTAGTGGTAACGACAGGGGAGTGGTTGAGGTAGAGTGGAGAAGATTATTGAAGAAGTAGTTCAAGGAAATGACCCACTACAGCATCGGAAAGAGTATTTACATATATATCGAAGTCTTCAAGATGAAGACTCAGGTAGTGATGGAGACATTCCATCACAGTGAGAAAGAAGGAGAAGAGAACAGATCTAGGGGTCAGTAGATAATGGTCAGCCTTAGGACACTTAGTATTGGGTGATCTAGTCTGATGACATGAGAGTCAAAGCTGGGGCTTTTTTGGGAGAAGGGAGGGAGAATGAATGGTCTCACAGTGGCAGTGAAGAGCAGAGAGGACTCCTACTCCCATGTCCTTATCCAGTGGTACAGGACGAAGGGAGAAGAAACAGCTTCCCCTTGAGAAGGCCACAGGGAAGCAGTGGCTCCAGGGGACAGCCAAGGAGGAAGGGAAAGGCTGAGGAATAGAGAATATAACAGATACTATATTATAGAGTAGATAATGTGGTGGATATTAGAATAGATAATATAATGCACAAATTATAGTGTTATTTTGTGTATATACAGCTTTTTACAACGGCAATGTAGTATTTAAAATCAAATTCTTCTCACCTTATTGCAGTTCTCTTCCTAAACATGTGAACTGTGACTTTGAGAATCAACAGCTGCATGCTAAAATACAACTCCAGCAGAGCCCCAGCACATAAAAGGCTTTGTGGAATAAATTAATACAAATTTCACTATGTCAGGTTGAGATCAAGGAGAATAGGGCAGAGGCTTAGAATTTCTAAGGAAATGGTCTCTTCCCTGGGAGGGTTCCATTATTTCATTTAACCGATATTTATTGAGAACTGAGACCTGTCACTTGGAGGACAAAGTGCCAGCTTTAATGGAGCTTAAATTTAAATGAATGTGGTTCACGAGCATAAGACCAGATTTTTGAATGAAGAGACTTGTGCATGATTGAGATGTTTTCCAATCAGGCTCCCAAGTATTATTTAAGATCTTCCTCAAAAGTGGACTCATTTTATTTGTGCCTAACTAGACCTTTTTACAGCCTCACCACACCTAAGGGACACGGTTGTGTGTGTGTGTGTGTGTGTGTAGGACAGGGGCAGTAGACAAGGGAGGAAAGAACCACATCTCTGTCATCTCTCTTCCACTCTTGTCCTTCTTCCTCCATCAAATTGGAAGCCTCGAGTGTTGAGTATAGAATTATTGGAAATTAGGAAGTTTACTTTAACCTTTTTATTTTGTAATTCGGTAATGCTATTTCTATAGATCAGAGAGCATCATTTGGATAAGTGAATGGAATTCATTTAAAGATACAGAAAGAAGGAGCAAGAGTGCTCTAGGTATCTTTTTTGGTATTATATGTTTGCAACACTAGAGATGTTATTTTTGTTTCCATTCAAATGATGTGCGGCAGGAATTAGAGAGGACAAACCCTCAGGTGCAGTGGCCGGTGGGGGTTGTGGTCAACTGTAGGGCACGTGGTCCTTTTGAAGGCACAGCTACTGCTCGACTCCAGGGCTATGGTCCAGGGTGGGAATGCAGGCCCCCAGGGGCCCAGAGGGCCAGATCTTCTGATGTTTCAAGAGAAATCAGAAAACTGGATTTTTAATGAATTCCCAGTTTTTAAATGTTGGAAACTAATTCCACCATGTTTACAACATGAAAGAAGCCAAAGAAAATATTCATTGCACAGGTGGCCAGTTTGCCGTCTCTGATACAGACCATCACCAAACCAATGAGACCATTTATAATGTCTAATAACAGCCATGGTCACTTCAGACTGTAATTCCAAACATGCAGACTTACTGTGGATTTGCGCCCTCACGGTGCAGATGTCACAGTCTTCCCCATTTTACATTTGCTCCATTAGGAGCCTCTAGGGCAGCCCTGTCCAATGGAACATTCTGCAGTGATGAAAATGTTCTGTGTGTGCTGTCTGATACAGTAGCCGCTAGCTACGTGGGATTGCTGAACACTGGAAATATGGCTAGTGTGACCAAGGAACTGAATTTTTAATTTTATTTAATTTTAATTAATTGAAACTTAAATTTAAATAGCCACATGTGGCCAGTGGCTACCAAGCCTTGTCTCCTGGTCTCTGCACCTTTCTCATCCCAACAGAAACCCAACCAAGAGTTACTGAATTGAACCAAACCAAGATACGCCTTTGATCACAAAGTGGAGTAAGGAGAGAAGGGAACAAACCCACCCCAACATTGGGGGGGCTGTGGGGCAGGGCAAAACTCTATACCTCTCAATAGTTGAAACTTATAAACCAAGCTGACACACCCAAATAAAATGCGTGCCTTCCTCCTGCCTGCACGTGTTCCTTCATAGTGGCCTGGAGAGCCAGGCTCACATGTGGAGCTCCTAGGGCTTCTGCCCGGGAGCTGTGGCGTGGGGACGAGCTGGCCCCTCTGTCCCCACCCCGGCTCCACCCTGGCCACAAACGACCCCACTAGTGAGCCTGGTCAGAGTGAAACTTCACCTAACTGGAGCTCGAGGACCGTCTTTGGGACCCTTCTGCTGTTCCTGTGCTCTTTGCTCCCTCTTGGCTGTAGCCGCGTCTGACTTTAAGATGGCTTGCGCAGCTTTGTAGAATTGCCATGAGTTCCTGTATTGATTGGGTGTAGACCTCCCGTCTGAGACAAGCGCTATGATCTGATTGATGCCTTTTGGGACCCCACGTAAGTGCCTCCCTCGTTGCCTACAAATTGAGGGATAATCACTTGTCTGTATGGGCTTGTGCTGAATTCTTCAGAGGCAAATTAGAACTGAACTCGGCTGCTGGTTTTAAAGAGTGTTTGAGTTAAACAAGGAATGGGTACAGATGTGACTTTGGCCAAAGGTTAATAGGAGAGTTCACTTCATTAAGCAGCTTATTCACCATCACTAAATCATCTTTGACGATATGCTTCAGAAGGCTTTTCATCCTTGGGGCAATCATTTATGCCAAAAGAATTGGGGAATGAAAGATAAATTAGAGATTGCTTTTAATCCATGTACGAATCAATCCAATGAGTTCCATGTAATTAAAGTCATTAGTTAAAAAATCAAGTCTCTCAGTGCTTAGGATGTGTATCTGGATTATCCTCATCTAAATAACATCTTTCAAATGATTTACAGATTCTGGTGTTAAGGTAGACACAAGAGAAAAAAAGTAATAGTCACACTACACGTGTGCATATATGTACGTGAAAGACTTGAGTGGTTTCAGTTGGAGGAGAGGTTCTGAAGCTTATTTTGAACAATTGATTGATCGCATTCTTTTCTGGTTGTCGACATTTATGCTGGTGGTGTACCTGTACTGAAAGTCATTTTGTGACCACTCAGAGAAAGCTGGGGAACTCCACCCTTATTATGTCACAGCTCCCTCCTGTGGTGACAAAGAAGAACGGAACATCATCCGTGACAGTTGTATAGAAATAGTCCCAGGCATAGAACTGGGAAGAGTAACTGAGATGGTCTGCCAAGATTGAGGGCCTCTGGTCAGTTGTCTCTAGAATTCAGGGTTGTCTCGCAAGTAGTTTCCCTGCCTTCTGCTGAATGGTTTAGACCCTGCAGAGGACTCTGATATGTGATTGCTGTGCCCTCTCCAAGGGCACCCACGTTTGATTGCTGTCTCAGTTTCCTCCTTACTATATCCACTTTTCATGGTTAGAAACTATCTTGTATGATTCATATCTCGTAAATGATGCCATAATTGAAATTAATGTAAATATTTTCCTGCTGAAACGTGTTTTCCCCTCGGTAACTGTTTTCATAATACAAATACTTGGCAATCTTGGGGTCGTTTTAGGAAGTGATGGTTTCTTTTTCTCAGTGCGTTGACCTAATTTCTTCTCTGCCAACATCAATTTCAGTCTGTTGAAACAGAAATCTTTGAAGCATTATTGGAAACCAAAAGATGTCTTTACATGCTTGAGGATTCTTAGCCTGAGCAAGTTTGCTTGAGATTCAATTTGAAAGCACCCTCTTGCCCGTGCATTTATTTCCAAGGGATTCTGTCTGTATTGAGCTCTCTTAGCCCTGCTGCCTGAGTTGGCTGCATCTGTGGGGCTGGGCAGGGGTGGTTGGGTGCCGCTGAACTCATCCAGCGACAGAGCGAAACATGGGGACAGTACAGGGAGATGGGATTTGGGGTGAAACTGGAGATGGGAGAAATAGGGAAAGATAAGCAGTTCCCAACCCTTCTCTCTGTTCCTTTGAGGGGGTGGACAGGCGTATTCCGCTGCTATGGAACAATTAGGAGTCTGCTTTTCCTCGTTTCCTCTGGATTCTTGCCGAGGGGATCAGCAGGGCAGGGTTGTCACAGCGGCCACAGGAAGCTTCCAGTCTCCACTGGCTGCTGCTTTAGAATGCTGGATAGACTTTTTACCAATGCAGGACGAACATCTTAAAATACTGAGTAGATGAATAATGAGCACTCTTTGGAGGGACGTAACGGTGTCTTGTTGGGCTTCTCAGATACCTTTTAAATATTTTTTAAAGGTGCAATAAAGATTTCATTAAAAAGATAAAATGGATTTGCCCTATGCACTACATTAAATAGGCTATTTGTATGCATTGGTAAGAGAATTTCTCTTTCCTTGCACCTTTCCAGGGTCAAAGGGGTGGGGCCAGCTCTCCACTGGGCCTGTTGCCACTGGGTCTGAGACTCTTCCTTGCTGTGGCTGGATACTGTAGCTGTTAGGGGGTGTGTGGAAGGGTGAGGCCTTGTGGGTTCAAGAGGAAAGGACCAGCATTTTGGATGTCCACGGTTTTTAATGAAAATATACAAACTACTGTTTTATAGAAAATTCCAATTTTTTTCTACTTCTCACTCTCCGGAAATTTCTCACCTTCTTGTTGATGGTGTCTGGGGCTGGGGATCAGTGAGGTGGCCGTTATTCTGCGATTCAGCGTGTTCTGACAGAATCAAGCTGAGACGTCTAACAATTTTGATTCACACAAGCGTCCAAAGAGTTCTTAACCTCAATAGAATCTGGATTCAGTCAACAGGCAGATAATTATTCGGAAATCCTTCTTCATATTCTCTTGTGGTTTCTGCTAAATGGTAATTTATTTGAGGACAAGTCTATTTTTCTTGGGGAAAAATCATGCCAATACACTGTATGAGCATTTCTCATCACAGAGAAAGCAAAATTCTCATTCTCCTTAGGTTTGTGCAGGGCTCTGACACAAACATGAGGACGGTCCACACCAATGTTTGATGCACCTCCAGCCTTCAGCTTGCCATTTGGTTCTTTTGGGAGGACCAGAGACGATGACGCAGACAGGACTGAGGGAGGAGCTGGAGCTCCTGTGTGGATCCGAGGCGTACAAAGGCCTGGAAGCCTTTAGTGGATACAGTGATTTGAGGGAACTGCAAGGAGTTCTCGTGATGAAAGCAGATGGTACTCATAGGGGTGTGGTGGGAGACAAGTCTTTAAGGGGCTCGTTCATGAAGGACCTCCCATGCCATGGTGAGTAGTCTTCATTTCATCTTATAGTCAGTGGCATGCCATTCCCAAATTTTATATAGGAGTAACATATATACCGTCTGGTTAGATGGTAAGCTAAACCTAAAAATAAAAAAACAAAATAAAAACAATGGCATCCAAGAAGTGTCAGAAGACAGTATATGGTTGGATGTTAAATGGGTGGGGCAGAGGTGAGTGACAGTCGTGGAACAGAGAGGTTGCTATGATCGCAGCCCTCAGGGGCTTCTTGATGGAGGAATGGATGACACTGCACTTTGAAGAACAAGTAGAAGGAAAAGGAGATACTTCGTTGATGCCAGAGTGGGGGGTTTCCACTGTTTACAAAGACAAGGTCTAATGGAAAGAGGAGGGCAAGGCTCTTTGCTGTCACTCTGCAGTCGATGTCAGCACCTCACCCCGTCTGAGGACAAGTGTCCTTGGGCACAGCGTGGGGAATGGTTGAAGCGGTCTGGGGGAGTGTCCTAGAGAAAGGACCTAGAGAGGGGGTCATGAGCGGAGGCTCCTTCCAGCCTGAGGACAAGTGTCTGACATTCCAGAGCCCGGGAGCAGTCCTTGAAGGGTTTGTGTGAGGTCACTGAGTGTCTAGCACCTGCTGTGTGCGAGCACTGAGGCGCTGAAGTGGGCTCTGCTGTCGCTCCTGGGCCCCTGACTTGCCGGCGATGCCTGCGTTTCTGTTCTAAAGACCGTTGCCTGTGGGGAGGGAAGATGTGAGCGGTTCTCTTGACTCTGTTGACTCACAGCCACTTCTTGATGCTCAGGCCTGATAAGTGCCGTGGACTCTTCTAAGAAATCAGAACACTTGGCCCTCAGCATGCATTTTATTCCTTGGGTTGAATTTGCTCTGAAACAAGTATTTGGCTTTGCTGCAAGTTATTCCTGCCCTTTCTAGGCCTAACCATATTAGAGGACCTTTCCTTTTTGGTAAGAGGGAAAGCAGTTGTGAAAGGAACCCAACCCAAGCCCAGAACACATCAGGCTCCAAGAAAAAGGAAATTTACCAATGTGTGGGGCTCTGCCAACATTTCCCACAATTATGGAGATTAATTCATCCGGTCAGTATCCTACAACAGAGTGGATGCCATGCTAGGGACACAGAAGTGTACAAAATGAGTGTGGCAACAGCCCTAGGGGAGTTTACAGTAAGTGGGGAAGGACAGGCGGGTAACCATAAGGCACTGGATAGATGTTTTTGCTTATATGCACTGTTATTTTAAAGGGTCCTGGCCTGAGCTTCCATTGAGGTCCCGCCTCTGCTGTGTGCTTGTTTGTGATTGAATCCTCCTGAGGCAAAATTTTTAAGCAATAAAATGTTGTCAGAACATAGAAGCAAAGAGCCCAGTAGTTTAATGTGATTGAGCAACGCTGGTAGGTTTAAAGTGTCTTAGCAGAAAGGCTCCCAGCACCTGAAGAGCCTCTAGTTTATTCTTTAAGATCAGGCTGAGCTCCAGACTCCTCTGATGAGCAGGAACTTTTCCTCCCACCTGTGTGGGTTTGACAGCGCTCCCCCAGTGGTTTAGTCCAGACCTGGGTCCCGTGTCTTCCTTGGAGCGCTGACCCCACTCAGCATGGAGCTGTGGTGCCCCTGAGGTGGGTGGGTGGCCTCCCTCCCTCCCTCCCCCGGCTCGGCGGGGTTCTCCTCCCCCACGGGAGCAGCAGCCGTTTCTGGTCAGGTTGGAGGTGTGTGGAAGTCGGCACAGTGCCTGCGTCCCCTGGGTCAGCCTGAGCTGTCACTGTAATTTCATCCCAGAAGCAACAAAACCAAACTCCGTTTAAAAGGAAAAGAGAGAGAAACGTAACTGAATGTAGCAGCACTCAGTGTTTGCTAAAAGGCTACACGCGGGGCCCACGTTTTAAAGAGCAGATTCCAGGAGAAATTCTGAGATTGCAAGCTGCAGCCCTTTCTCTTCCAGCTTGGTTTGGCTGCTTTCCAGAGCCTCCAGGCCAGCAACTGAGGGATGAAATGTAATCAGTGGCGGTACGTTTGCACCACATGAAGTCTCCTGTGCCTCCGAAGGCTCCGGTGGCTGTGGGCGAGGCACAGCAGCACCAGCCCCCGGCTGCTGGCCCCCGGGACGGGAGACTGGATCACAATGGTAAGAACCTCCGAGTTGTCGGCAGACCTAGCTCGTTACCTGGGAAGGAGTGCTTAGCGTGCGCTGGTGAAAATGGCTGTTGGGAGTGTGAGACGGAGCAGACACATGAGCTCGGGGCACTGGCAGCTTTTCACTAGATGGGCAGGAACACCTTTGCCACCAGAGCATGGAGTTTTGAAAAATGATTTCTTTCATGTCAGGAGTTGTGCTGCCTTGTAATTAATGAGGACAGTTTGCTGGGCTCAGACAGGGAAGGACAGTCCCCATGGTGACCTCACATGCAACCCTGATTAATGCAGCCTCTGAAAGTGGACTCGTTCCTCTGAATGTCATTGTAGTTTCTAGGAGACTTCTTCAGAGAAATAATTACCTGTTCTCTCGATGTTTCCATGTGGGGGTGCAAACCCATTCATACCGAGGCGGCTTCCTTGGCTGACGAGCGAGCTGTCACAGGTCTGTGCGCTTCACCCTGGATTGGAGGTATTTGCACAGTAACATCGCTGGCGCAAACTTCTAAGTGATTGTTTTTTCTTTTAAAACTATCGTTTGCAGGCAGCAGTGACAGGAGCCCACGTTTTAAAAGAAGGTGTTGTGTGATGTTGTTTGGAGGAAGTGTGTGTGGTTTACTCCAGCAGAGCAAACCTCGGCAGCGGGAGACAGCCTTAATGGAAACGTGAGGTCTTGGATGAGGCGTTCAGATTCACCGTGGAAATGAGTGTGCTTAGTTCTTGGTCTCTGCTCCGAGTGCCTTCTCCAAGTGCCTCTTCTCCATCACTCATGATACAAGGAGGAAGGGAGGATAGGAGGAGAAACTGGTATAACAAGGAAGCCACGAAACATTTTTTTTACGGAATTAAGGATGAAGGACATTGGTAATAATAAGATTGCATAACACTTAGGAGAAAATAAAACCTATTACTGTATAGAGAGCATGCCCAAAATACACTTATTTGCTGCACAGCTGATGTGTGGGAAATGATTATTCTGTTTCTAATCCAGATGAATGAAGAGAGTGCTGATGAAGGGAATGTGGGAATTTTTAGAAGTACATAAGACCGCCTTTCCAACAACTCAGAAAAGGGGAAACTGGAAAGCGGCTTTATGAGAATATTTCATTTCACTTCCTGCCCTCATCATCCATACTAGATCACTCACTCATAAAACAGACCATAAAAATAAAGCTACGGAGATAAGGGTCAGGTTTTTCCCTCCTTAATTGGTATCTGGTACCATTTGTCATCTCGTCCGTTTCAGAAGCTCTTCTGACGAGTGAAGGAGATGTTGCAGTCGTGTTAGACACGCACCCGTTTCTCCTAGGCCAGCAGGATGGATAAAAACCAGCGTATCCAGCGTGAGGATTAAATGGGGCTCCTTAGTGCCTTTGAATGTTTTGCCTGAATTCTTGAGGCATAATAATTTGTTTCTTCTCTTTACTAGCCTGGGAACATTCCTTTAAGGATTAAAAAGGACCAGGCTGAAATGCAGATGGAGTCCCGTGGCAGCACACTTTAAGTGTGGGCCTAAATGTAAGTGTAGTGGCGATCTGTACAGCATTCGGGAGAAAACGAGGGGCCGGTCGGCGCTGAGGTGACGTAAGTGCAGTGGCACAACTTGGTGAAAGTGTGGAAGGAACAAGCTTTCCTCTGGAGCAGCGGAGGAACGGTGGGAACGAGGAGAGTGGCTGCACCCAGGCCACTCTCTGGTTATTCTGGTTAATTACTATTTAGAGAGTTGGAAAAATTACCAAGTGGTACATTAAAATAAAAGCTTTGGTCTATTTGAGCCCTTCTTAACTGCAAACACTAAAATGGTAACACTTTTGTGGGGAAGACGTCCTAAACAGCTAGTTTTTAACTGTATTTCACCTTTCCTATTAGGGAGAATTCTGCACAGAGAGCCGTGGATTGGAAAGCCAGCCTTTGATAGTAGGGGACTGAATCCATAGATTAGATTTTCATTGAGTCCCCTCCGTGATGAAAGGAACCGCGCCTGTTTCTCCTCATGCAAGTGTGGTCAGTTCTCTCTCTTACCCAGGAGGAAGGACTCTGTTGGGTCAAACCCTCTCCTTGACCTCGTTAGAATCAGGAGCGTGTCAGGGCTCTCTGGTGTCACACCAAATAAGTTGGGCTGGCTTGGGCTCTGGCCTCTGAGAGCTGTTTTTGTTTTATTTATAAATTTAAAGGAAATGCAAATGATTAAATCCATACTACATAATTCAAACAAGTTTAAGTTACTTCAAGGCAAAGGAAATGCATAGATGTTTTCAAATAATGTATTACAAGTCCTGAGGACATACGTGCAGTGTACCAAGTGTTTTAGGCACTTTAATAACCCTCATCCTTCCTTTTAAGCTGATATTATTATTACTGTCCCTATGCTACTGAGGTAAGGCACAGAGAAATTAACTACTTTCCTAAAGACACACAGCTGGTAAGGGTGAGAACAAATACAGGGCCTTTCGTTCTTAAACTACCTCATCATACATCTATCTTTTAAGATATAAAGGAGAGGGGGCCAGACCAAACCTTCAAGGACTCAGCTGCTAAAACTTCAGATGATCTTAGACATTTCTCCTTCCTCATATCCAGTCTGTTGCCACCACAGGTCTGTTCTTCCTTGTCAATATCACCTCTTTTGGTTTCCTGTCCTTTGTATACCAATACCATAATTCATACCTTGTGTTCCCTTTCTTGCCAGTTTCTCTTAAACTGGGAGATGGTCTCATGTAATGGAAAGAGAGTTTAAACATACTCAGGCCTAGAGTTAAATTTCTGTGTCAGCCACCTGTTAGTTGTGTGATTTTGGACAGTGTTTTTTTAAACTACCGATGAATGTTCTCATCTGCAAGTGAGAGTAATGATTGCTGCCTCCGTTGGGTCATTGTGAGGATTACATTAATACATTTGTGTAAAGTGGGATGTTTGATTAGGCTAGGGACCATGGCAGAGAGAAGGATTGGAAGGGAGCTTTTGGAATTATCTAGGTACAAGATGATAAGGATTTAAATTAGGATGGTGAGGAGAAAATGAAAAAGAAATCAAAGCAGAAGATGGCATGAAGGAAAACTTCACATGCTCTGGCCACTGATTGGATGTGAAATGTGAAAAGAAAAGCGAAGACCCTACCCCTTGAAGGAGTCGCTCCAGAGAATGAGTGGAAGTCCCTGGCTGCAACTCTTCCCCTCCTGGGCCTGGTCCTCATACACAGTAGGTTCTGTGTGTTGGGTTGAATGAATAAAGGCATGTACCAAGGAGGAGAAACTCTGAGTCAGAATATATGACAGATAACTCCTATAGCCTGTTACCCAAAGTCCAATAAGGTGTTTTGAAGTGAGGGACAATGTAGTGTGTTCTGAGAAGAACATAGAAGCTCAAGGTGTAAAGTGGCCTTTTGATTATGTTCCTGAGGAGAAGAAGGTGGATTCAGAGGATTAGAGGAGGTTATATGCACCTACAACCCTATGTCCACAGGTTTTAGAAGTTTGAAGGTGATGTGTAGAGAACAAATGGGATACAGCTAGAAATTACTAACGCTACAGTGTTATTGTCTTGATAATTGGTAACCTGTAGCCACGTTGATAGACGAATGGCAAGATGTGGAGGACAATGAGTGGATATCAAACCTCCCCCTCAAAAAAACACAAAGCACATATAATAAAGGTATGAAGAATTTTATTAATTAGAGTGGGTAAGATGCTGATTGTCAGAAAGTCAATTTCCGTTTCTCCTTGAAGATGTTATCAAGAGCATTAAAAATTATAAATTGCACATATCAACAATATAATGAAGATGAATAGTCTCTCTCATTCATTTTTCTGTGGTTCTTCTGCAAACTGCTTTTGATGGAAGTGCAAAGCTGAAATAAACAAATATGAGCTCAGTTCAAATTTACATCCTCTCCATCAGCCTCGTGGGTACAGGTGATTCATGACGGATGCTGGACAGGGCCTACTGCCCGGTGGGTGAGAAGACACAAGAACAACTATATATGGGCTGATGGATAAAATACCGTTGAAGTTGTTGCTGATTCAGCCTAATGTTGATTGTAAAATCAATGTGATAGATGGAAGACCTAGAATAAAGAAACCAATTAGCTGCATAACCTAGAAATTAAATAGGTTCAAGATGGATGAAGTCTCTGGAGAGATGCTCAGAGGATTGCAGGGGAAATGGTATGGTTCAGGTTTTTAGCCTTGACTTGCCACTTTAAGTGCCCTCCTGGAAATGTGGACACAGCAATCACATCAGACGTCCCTTGGGTACTTCCGGTTGAGCTTAGCTAGTCCAGGTTCCCCCTCCCCTCCCTGTTATCTTCTTGGGTCAGCACTCCTCATTCATCGGTGTTCCCAGGGGCCTGCGAGTGTGCATCTTTGTCCCTCATCTCTTCCTTCCCATCTTACTCTTTGGAGTTAGCAGTCCAGTGTGGATAATCTGCCCAGATGTCCTAGACCCCCAAGGTCTCGCCTGTGGGCATCTTCTGATTGACTCTGTGAAGGGCCCAGACTCCCCACAACCACCAGCCTGAGTCAGGCCACCTTGTCTCGGCCCCATCCTCGAAGGACAAGCATATCCATTTGGAAGAAGTTGGTATTTGGATTTATAGCTTGTGTTACAAAAATAGTTGGATTAATTTCCTCACTTATTTAATTATTGTGTTTATTTTGGTTTCAGTAGTGAAATCTAAACACAGTAAAACATATATGGAAATATTTTAAGAACTAGATAAAATCTCTGATAGAGAGAAAGGGGGGTACTCACACTCATGTTCTTAAGAAATCTCACTTTTTAACTAACTATTGTGCTGTGTGTATGTGATTTTAATGTTTCTGGCTGACACTATGGCTGACTCATCATTTCATAGGACATATGGCTCGTGAGCTTCAGTGCTTTGTCATAGCAAGAACAGGCTATATTGTACTATGTTGCTACACCTAAGACTTCCCCAATTTCTGTTCACTTGGCATAGAGATTCTTTGCAAAACTGTTTCTAACTTATAATTA